CTCGACCATCCATTGCATGCACATAAACAAGTAAAATGGAGAATCAGAAAATCTCAAAGCTTTTTAAAATTTGGCTTTGGAGTTCATCCTATTTCCCGCAGCATCACCTTCTTTAGGATGCGTGATTGATGAGGTGCGGTAATGAAATGCCTGCGCACTCACCACGCTCTCCAGCAGATGCCAACTGCACCGCTTCCGCTCCGCCCCCCCACCCCCACCCCCCGAACTACCATCCCAGTTTTCCTTTCCCCATTCCCTGGCTTTTCCCTCATGCTTTTATCACATATAGAGCCTTATTCTGCTCATTTTGCTGATTTCAGAAATTCATAAAAATAGTATCATTCTGTATGTATTCTCCTCCAAAACACCTCCAATGACAAGGGCGCCACGTAATAAAGTCAGGCAGCATGTTCTGAGCACGCACCATGCATGGGTGGGACTGCACTGGGGTCTGGATGGGCAGTCAGCAAATACAAGTGGAACCAGAGTCTGAAGTGAATGGCGAGGGCACACAGTAGAGAACTGAATATGGCACAATTTGCCAGTTCAAATATTTCACCTTTTCTTTTCTTTTTTATTTTTTTTTAAATATATTTTATTGATTTTTTACAGAGAGGAAGGGAGACGGATAGAGAGTTAGAAACATCGATGAGAGGGAAACATCAATTCAGCTGTCTCCTGCACACTCCCTACTGGGGATGTGCCCGCAACCCAGGTACATGCCCTTGACCGGAATCAAACCTGGGACCCTTCAGTTCGCAGGCTGACGCTGTACCCACTGAGCCAATCCAGCCAGGACCAAATATCTCACCTTTTCATCCTTCCCCTAAGACGCACAGTGTGCCGTCACCGTGCACGCGGAACTGGCACACCGTTGCCCGGTGCCCTTCTCTCGCGGAGGCTGGTCTCTCAGCCGGGGGCCTGACCCTCTTCATGCCGGATTCTTTGAATTCCATGCAGAGGCGTCTGGATGTTCTCATTACCCTCAGAATTTCATGTCACAACGCATTTGAATTTTATAACCGCCAAAGCTCTCTGGAGAAACCAGGAACTTTTCATGACGAGCCTCCTCAGCAAAGGACAGAAAAGCCTACGGGCCCGTGTCACTGCCAGAATCGCTCCAAGAAGGGCAATGCTTTGAAAGTCAGTGGATAAATGTAAGTCAGAGGAGCATTCTGAGCCATGAACTCGGCGCGCAGATATATAAGCTTGGTCACTGCCACAGCAAATTAGCACGATATGACCAGTGCTCACCCACGCCACGACCCAGACCACGCGAAGAGCTCCTCCTCGTGTCCAGCTGAGATGCCCCTGCGTGGAGGGTGGCCATGCTGACGCCTGAGTGAGGACGATGGGCTCATTTTCCATCAGACACATGCCCAGCCAATAGGCGGTGAGCAGGGCACCCCCATAAAGGGGAAGACCGCTGATGAAATGCAGCATCAGGCACACTTTAACCAGAAGGAAACGGGAAGAAACTTACAGCTAAAAAGCCAGGTCTTCCAAGATGCCCGAGTGGGGAAACTGGGTGTCCGCAAATGGCTACAAAAGTTCCAGCAGGACTTGGGGGGATGAGGGTTCGGGGGGACCTAGGGGACAATCTCCCAAACAAGCCCCTACTAAGGCGGAGGCTCCCCGAGTGTTCCATACAGCCTCTGTCCCCCCATCTCAGCCTAAGTGGGGAGATGTGACATGAGAAAAATGATCAACAAGGCGGGGGCGGGGGGGGGGGTGCAGGTCACGCTTGTTTGGTGCATACAGGCAACAGGCAGGCAGAGGACAGGCCCTGTGAACTGACAATGTGCACGGAAACGCTGAAATGCTGATGGTGACCGGCAGGCCCAGGTAGGGCCCGCTGGGCTTATAGGCCCACCCGAGAAAGGGGTACAGAGGGGAAAGGGAGGGGGGACTCGGGGCAGGGAAGGACTGGGACTGGGAGAAGCCTGCATGACCTGATCCATAAGGAAGGGACAGTTAGAGGATAGCAGCCCAAAAGCACAAGAGGACTGGCCCCCAACTGGAGCCTTAGAGTGATGGCCCTCATGCTCAAAGTCACACCCTAGCAGCACCCAGAACCAGCACCTGTCCATTAAAACCCAAGCAGGAAAGGATTACCTAAAGGTAGGTTTCAGTCTGGTGATTTCGTCACTCTGCTGGCTAGAAGCATGCTGAAAAGCATATCACTGGACAGAGCAATATTTAAAATTTCACCCAGAACAACCATTGTGTGGGAGAAGACTTGCATTACTCAGCCTGAGGGAGAGGTTATGGATTCGACACTTTAAAAATCAGACCATTTTCTGCAATCATCATCATTAAACTGTGCTCGCCACGCTTACACGCGTTTGGGCGTCTTCCTGGAACCTGCACAAATTAAAGAGCCCACACTGTCTTTTCCTGTGGGCTGGAAGCAGAGTGGCAACACTCACCAGCCCCGCCTTGCCGTGCGAGTGGATGGGGCTGACTCACTTTGACATCACCCTCCAAGCGCGGGGCATGCCCTTTCCCCCCAGGAAAGCCGCCACACAAAGAAAGCGATTTCTCCAGGGCGAGGTGTGGGGTCTTCCACAAGCAGGAAGCCTTTGCTCATGGGAAGTGCCCTTTGCCAACGACTAAAACCAACTCCAAAACGAATACGTCCATTTCCTTCGACAACCAGGAACAGACCAGCAGACTAAGTCCTCACCTGAAACCTGAGACTTCATACCTACAGCTCATTTATACACGGAAACGTGTGTCTCGTTCCAATAACAACATCTGTCTCATTGCAATAATCACATCTTCCAACTGTATCGCCAAAGCAACAGGTATAATCAATAAAGGGCCTTGAAATTTCCATCCCAGTTATAAACGCGGTTGGTGTAATGGGTCCTTATTTCCATCCTGCATAATACAGTGAAGTGCGTGCCTGGATCCAGCGTGCATTGTTAGACAAGCAGGTTAAGAGTAAAAGGGATCACTGGCCATTTGGATGCTGCAGTAACATGAGCAAATCGTCCCCTCAGAAGCGCAGTGAATCAGAGCAGCCGCAGTTTCTCTGTCTGCCTTGTGATTCACAGCATCCTGAGAATCCAGCCGAGCAAGTGGGATGATGATGGTTGGAAAACAATGCGACTGCTTCTCACCGTCAGGCATGGGCGTTCCACTCTGCCAGAGAGAGGCCACTGCCCAGGACACAAGCTGGAGGCGACCGCGTTGCCCACAGAAACATCTCCAGTTCAGACCCATCCATCTAAAAACGATTAAGAACTAGAAACCCATTAACAGAGCAAGGCTCGGTCCCCCACAGCCCCAGGGAGAAATCCTAGTAACTCTTCCTGGATTATGCCAAACCCTCACACGAATGCAGAAGCCGCGTGTCTGGCGTGTCCTCCCGTTGCCTCTTCCTGGTGAACAGTTTGGTCCGCCCCCTGAAGTCCTGACAGGTACCTACAACCTGGACTCCGCTGGCTCACCACTCCCAAGTGAGCCTGCAACACACGCCTCGCCTGTCGAGTCAGACTTAACCGAGTGTTTTCCTCTGAGAGTGCTGCCTGCAGAGCAGCCCAGTGTGAACTCGCATCTTTCGGAAGGAGCGCTGAGGAGGCTCCAACAGAGAAGGGCTGGCTCCGTCCTCCACTCGCTCCATGACATGCAGCCGCCACTCAAGCCCGAGGCCAGGACTGGGCGATGCCCTGCAGTCAATTCACCGTCACTCGTTGGGGGACAGAGCTCGGCGCCTCACACTCAGGTTCGGGTCCCCCTGCACCCCTGGTCCCGCCCCCCGCGGAGGTCCCCATGCCGGCGTCCGGGAAAGAACTGGAAGCCTGGGCTCCGGAGCTCCGCCCCGGGTGCAGGGGGTGGGGCAGAGCTCTCTCCCCAAAGCCCGACGCGCGGAGGGTGCACGCGGCTGGAACCTCAGCCCCTCCCCTCCCAGCTGCCGGCGGCTGAGACCCCACCCCAGGCAGGTGACACCCTCGGTGGCCACCTCGCGCCCTCCCAGGTTCGCCGAAGGAAAGCCGAGCCCCCCCTCCCCCCGCCACCCGCAGGAGGTCTCGCCCGCGCGAGGGCAGCGACCCGGCCCCACGGCCCCGGTGAAGGGGCGGAAGGAGCTCTCCCCTCTGCCCAGCCTGCAGCCCAGCGGGGAGCTGGGCATCGCACCCCCGACCCAGACCCCCCCACCCCCCGCACCCGGACCTGCGCACAGGCACCGTCGAGTGTCCCGGCCACACACAGGCGAAGCGTCGGGGCACCTGAAACTTATGTTAGGAAGCGGGGAGGGCTGGGGCGCGTCCTTAGAGGCGCGCGTCCTTAGAGGCCCCCGTCCCCGCACCCCGCGCCCAGCTGAAACCCGAGGGACCCCGAGGCTCGGCACGGCGCTCGGGAGCGGCTGGTCCAACTGTCCCACCGCCGCCGCGTGGAAGCGGTGCCTGCCCGCCGCCCGTCCCCACGCACCCACCCGCCTGGGAGGCACCTGGACCCCCGCACTCCCTCCTCCCCGCACCCCACCCCCGGCTCTGCGTGACTCCGACCCTCCCCGCAGCGAGGCGGCCCCGGGAGGGCGCTCCCTGGGGTGGTGACCGCGCGGCCCCGCCTGGAGACCTGGGAGCACCTCTCGCTCCGGCCCACCCTCCCCCACCCGCCGCCGCCGCCCCGACACCAGGTTGGGACCCCCCTCTCTCTCCTCCCGCCAGCCCGGGGTCCCCTCGCTGGTCCGCGGGGGCAAGGACGCCTCGGGAACCTCCGGAGGCCGCCCCGGAGCTCCCGCCGCGGAGCACCTGGGTCCCCGGGGTCCCGACCCCACGGGCGCCCCCGGGGGGCTGTCCCCGCGCCCCGCGGCTCCGGAGAGAGCGGCGGCGGCCGGCGGGCTCGGGGAGGGCGGCGGGGCAGAGCCGCGGCCGGGCGAGCGGGCGCTCCCTCCCGGACGGAAACTTTCTCCGGCGCCGAAGTTCGGGGGCCGCGGAGGCGGCAGAGGGTGGGCGGCTCCGGGCGCCCCGACTCCCCGCGCCGCCCGCACCCACCTGGCTGTAGAGCTCGCTGAGCGACATGGCCCGCGGCGGCCGAGCCGGGCCCGTGTCCCGCGGGGGCCTCCTCGCGCCCGGCGCGGGCGGTCGGCTCTCGGCGGCGGCTCAGTGCGCGGCCCGCCCGCCTGGCGCCATCTTCCCGGCGGGAGTTGGTGCTCCGCGTCCCTTTCCCCGACCTGCCCGCCGGCTTCCTGGAGGCGCCGCGGCCGCAGCTCCCAGCCGCGACCTTTACTCCCGCGGCGGCGGCGGCGGGCGGGGGAGGAGCGGGCCGCTCCCCGCGCAGGTATGGGAGGCGGTGCGCGCGCGGGCGAGGGAGGAGGCGGCGGGCGTGGGAGCCGCGGCCCGGGCGCTGCCGCCGCCGCCTGGCGCCCTGCACGGCCGGGCCGCCCTCCCGCCCCCCGTCGCCGCGGGGTCGTCCGGGCCCGGGGCGGGGAGGGCGAGCGGCGGGCGCGGGCCGCCCCCTGCTGGACGCGGGCGCCGCGGGACAGGTGCGCGCCGGGGCCGCCGCACCTGCCGTCCCGGCTCGGTCCGCGCGGGCTGGGCGGGAGGCGGGGCGGGGACGCCGTGCAGCCGGGAGCAGGGGGGGAGCGGAGGGGGCCGAGGGGAATGGACGGAGGTGTCTGCATCGCGGATGTTTCACTGTGAACACCCAGCCCGCCGGAGGCGGTGGCTCAGGGGGCTTGCCTCTGCGCGCCCGGCGTCCTCAGAGCTGGGGCTGTGCCACTCCTCCCCTCCGTTTGCGGTTTCCCGCAGCTTCCAGGTGGCTGCCCTCGCCCCGCTCCGAGGGCGTGTGCTTTCCTAGGAAGTCTGCACGCTCTCCTCCCCGCGCACACTGCCGCCCGCTCCCGCGCCCTCCCCAGCACCTGGGCTTCGCCTCCTCTGCCGGGCGCCGGCTGCCCACAGCAGCCTCACTCCCCTTCTGCTTCCGCAGAGGCGGCGTCCAGCCCCGGCCCGCAGCGCACAGCCGCCCACGCACCAAAGGGTCGCGGGGTGGATACCCAGTCCAGAGCAGAAGGCAGTGAATCCATGTGTCTCTCTCTCACATAGATGTTTCTCCCACTCCTTCCCTCTCCCCCTCCTCTCCTCCTGGCCCCCTTTTTTTCCTCTAAAAAAATTAATGGGAAAAATATTCTCTGCGAGGATTAACAACAACAAAGAGTAGACATTTCAGCCAAAAAAGAAGATAAATAAAAGAGTAGACCTGCCCTGGTCGGTTTGGCTCAGTGGATAGAGCATCAGCCCTGGGACTGAAGCGGCCGGGTTCAATGCCGTGTCAGTCAAGGGCGTTACCTCATTTGCAGGCTCAACCCCTGGCCCTGGTTGGAGGCATGCAGGAGGCAACCAGTCACTGTGTCGCTCACATTGATGGTTCTCTCTCTGTCTCTTCCTCTCTCTCTAAAAATCAGTGGGAAAATATCCTCGTGTGAGGATAAACAAAAAAAAATGTAAAAGAGTAGACATTTCAGCCCCAAACGGAGCTAACTGGCAGGAGTTGGTGGAGTTGGTGGAGGGGAGCAGGACGCACAGGAGAGGTGGCCCTGGTTTTCTGGAGGCGGCCTCGGTGCCTGGGGAAGGGGCAGCTCCGAAGGTGGCTCCAGCCAGGGAGCCCATCTGCACCTGCTGGGCGGCTGCTCCAGAGCCGCGCAACCTGGGAGGGGTCTTAAGCTCCTCCTACTCAAGACCTTCCCACCTGGCGGGCAGGGTCCCCATTTAACTCACCTGGGGAACTAGAAGCGCTCTAAGGAAGCCCCCCCCCCCCACACACACACACACACTGTGAGGGATTCTGATCTATTGGCCAACAGTGGCCCTGAGCACCTGAATGTTTTCAGCTCCATCATTCTAAAAGATTGTACTTCCAGGGTTGACAAAGGCAGTGACCAAATGCTGTTCTCTGTTCCCGGGCAACTTTTTGAAGTGATGGCTCGCACCAGCTGGCTGCTCTCACTCACACCCCGTCCCTCCATAACTCACCGGCTCTCTACACTTCCTGCACGTTGGAGTCCCTTTTACAAAAACAGATGCCTGGCTCCCACTCCCAGAAACTCTATCTGGGATGCTGCCTGGGCAAAGGGGTTCTTCAGAGGGATGAGGCGGTTCTAACGACAGCCACGGTTGAGAGCCAGCGCTTCCGTTCCTTCCTAGCGGTTTCGCTCAGCCCTCCTGTTGAAATTGCCCTCCCCCTCCCAAGCATGGGGTGTAATGAACTCTCCCTGTCGGGTTAAACCACTCCTGTCACTTTTCTCCTTGTTCCCAGCCTGGCTTAACCACACCTTCCCCGCGTCCTCTGCTAGCTCTGCTTCCTCTTCCTGGTACCTGAATAGAACGGCGGCCCATTCCCAGAACTTTTCCTTCTCATACACACCCCGTTTCCCCTCCTGCCACAAATCCAATTCCAAGCTTCCTTAGACCAGTGATGGCGAACCTATGAACTCATTTTTTTGGTTGATTTTTCTTTGTTAAATTGCATTTAAATATATAAAATAAATATCAAAAATATAAGTCTTTGTTTTACTATCGTTGCAAAGATCAAAAAAATTTCTATATGTGACACAGCACCAGAGTTAAGTTAGGGTTTTTCAAAATGCTGACACGCCGAGCTCAAAAGGTTCGCCATCACTGCTTTAGACCCACCCTTGCACCTGTCAGACAGGCACTGCTAGCAATCCCCCTGGGATCCTGGCCCACCTGAAACTCATTTGCTTCCATCCTTTCTCCCCACCCCCAACTCATTCCAGCTTTCTGGCTTCCACCAGACCTGCACAACTTAAGGACTCAGTTCGTGCTGATGAAACGGAACCCCATCTCTAAGGAGAATACTACTTTCGGCCAGAGCTTCTGAATTTCTAATCCCACAATCAGATGTGCTCTTTCCCTCCTTTAAGTAATACCGCCAAGGAAGCTTGCCAAGTGGTTCACTTCTGTGATCTCGTCTGAGCCTCAGAGCCACCCCCTCCAGGAGGTCCCACCTGAGGAGTGGTGAGGGCCGGGCACTCAACAGGGAAGACAGGAATGTCGTAACTGTTTTCAAATATTTGAAAATCTGTCATGTGAAGAGAGATTGGGCTGGTTCTGCTGGATGAAGGCCAGAGCCAGACCACAGGGAGGAAGTTTCAGGGTGACAGACGGACAATCAGGAGAGAGAAATAAGAAGAACTGGTCACGAGAGGAGCAGGCACCTCATGAGAAGGGAGCCCGTTGCCCCTGGAGAAGTCAGAGGCCGGGTTATCACTGTCCAGGATGGTGTAGATTCTACCACTGGGAGGGTAGGCTGCACCCCCATGGTTGTGCCCTGGTGGCTGCCCTCCATGCGCCTGGCTCATGACACCAAAGCAAGTTGAGAGCTGTTTTCACCAGTGCTGTATGCCATACGTGTAAGGCTAACGTCAGGGAACAAAGCCCCCTCTCAAAGCTGGCTCCCTGGAAGGTTTGCTGTTAAGCCCTTTACAACTCAGTCCGACTGTAAGTCCTGTGCGCCCTTTAGAAGGGGTTCGCTGGAAGCTGGACTTTAATCCTAAATGGAATTAAAGGCTTTGGTTCCCACTAGGCATCTGACTCTGCTGCAAAAGGACTGGATTCTTTTCTGGGGGAAGAGGGAGAGGGTATTTCTATGCTTCCCCAGAACCTCCAAAATCTCTGTTCATAGAAGCTGTTCACGAGGCCGAGGGCTATGGTATAAATAACTGTAATGATGCCCTCCTGCAGGATGAAATGACAAATCTATTGGGGAGCAGAGAAGGGAGGAGAGAAACGAGGTGGCCCGGGTCAGAGGACATGCAGCGCTAACAGCCTGCAAGCCCACAGCCTGCACGCCCACAGCCTGCACGCCCCACTGAACGCATTCCGAGCTGCTGGTCCTCCTCATTCTCACTTGCTCCCAGGTAATCGGCTACAGGACCCCTTTCCAGAGGATGGCAGAGCCACATATAGTTCATCCACAGCCTCTTGCACCCTCTTCTGGACACTTCCCAGTAGCTGGTTTTATTTTTGCTTTTTCTATCATTTTCAGTATTTCATAATCCCCCAATCTTTCCAATAGGCCACTGTCCAACTGTCTCATTTTACAAACGAGAAAACTGAGCCCTGGCCGGTAGCTCAGTTGGTTAGAACATTGTCCCAATACACCAAGGTTGTAGGTTCAATCCCCAGTCAGGTACATACAAGAATCAACCAATGAATGCATAGAAAAATGGAACAACAAATCAATGTTTCTCTCTCCCTCCCTCCCTCCCTCCTTCCTTTCCTCTCTCTCTCTCTCTAAAAAAAAAAAAAAAAAAAAAAAAAAAAAAAAAAAAAAAATCAATAAATAAATTTAAAAAATAATAATAAAACCGAGGTTCAGAGAGGGGCCAGGATCTGCCCAAAGCCACACAGCTGGTCCGTGGCCAAGAGCAACCTGAACATTTCTGGGAAGAACTAGGATGTTGATATGGTTCACAGGCCCTGCCTGAGTAGCAGAGAATTTCACTCGCAATCTCTCCCCACCCGCTTGCTCAGAAAGCATGCCCTTCACCCCATAACACCCATTAATAAAGCAAAATTGAACCCAGGTCTTGCTGTGGGGCCCAGGTTTCCACCGGATTCCAGGTGAGACTTCCTTGTGTCCTGAGGCAGAGAGAGAGGGAATCAGAGCCAGAGGTTGGTGTAAGGATGGACCTCAGAGCTTGCATTAATTAAATAACCTGTAAATTACATGCTTTCTGTTTCCAAATCCTACCCATGCTTTATGAACATGATTCTCAGTCTTGGCTACACATTAGAATCACCTGGGAATCACTCCCAAAAAACTGACCCCTGTGCCTCCTCCTAGACCAGTGATGGCGAACCTATGACACGCGTGTCAGAGGTGACACACGAACTCATTTTTTTGGTTGATTTTTCTTTGTTAAATGGCATTTAAATATATAAAATAAATATCAAAAATATAAATCTTTGTTTTATTATCGTTGCAAATATCAAAAAATTTCTATATGTGACACGGCACCAGAGTTAAGTTAGGGTTTTTCAAAATGCTGACACGCCGAGCTCAAAAGGTTCGCCATCACTGCCCTAGAAGCTCCAATTTAATTGTTCTGGGGTGTGGTCCTTAAACACTTCCGGGTCATTCTAACGCAGAGCCACGGCCGAGAGCCTCTGCAAGTCCACACCGTGAGGCGGCTCTTCTCCAGGCCCACCCGTTAGTAGCCACCTGCTGGCACCTCTGATCATATTCGCATCCCCAGCCTCGGCAGCTTTGGAGTGTGGGGAAGCATATCATTGAGGATTTTATTTTTAT